GTCCTGCCGACGTCCACCGCGGACCCAGCCCCCGCAGTGCCGCCGCTCCAGGCTGCCTCCACGACCCCTGACCCCGGGAGCACGAGCGAGCCTGACCAGCCTGCAAGACCTGTCAGCGCCGCCAGCGACAACATGGTAAGTCCATGCCCGGAATTACGTCAGCTGGAAGCGTCCAAAGACACTTGTTCTGAGCAAAACCCAACTGCCCACAGCGCAAAATCGTCTCGAGAACAGGATTTGGATTACACTACTACCCTCGTAGGTCCGGTAACATCAGAGACCGACAACCAAACCCAATTAACCACTGCCCAGGTTCGGGCTGTGGGCACTGTCTTAGACATTACGGAAAGTGAAGAGTTTGAGTTTCACTGGACCTCCGCACACAACTTACCCCAGGAGTTTCTGGAGAAGTTAGAATATGGGTTGTCCGTTCTGGTTAAATCAAAGTGGCTTTTGGAACCAGAACCAATGGTTTTTCAGTTTCTGAAACCAGAGCCAGGAGTAGAACTTACTGCAACTTTTAAAAACGCCTGGCAGTCTGTAGCCCTGTTTATGCGATTCTGTCTGGCGTCCCAAGTTTTACACGCCACCGCGTCAGGAGTGTACAGACACTATCAGCGGTGAGAAGTTAAACAACCCAGTGCCGTAAGACACAGGGTTTACGCACCTCCGTTGGCCCTCTGTGACCTGCCGGTCCAGCAGGCCACCTCAGCTCGTCAACATTGTAAGTCATACAGTCAATTCATTAGTCCAGTTGGACGTCTGCGCTTAAATCAGCTGGCCCTTATGGACCACGCAGACAGGGTAACAGGTTTCCACCACGCCCCTCGAATCGACAATTCCGAACCAACGCGAGCTTTCTTAATTACGGCGTTGCCCTGGAATGGCTAACAATAGACAACGGCTGTGAAAGCGTAATAATATCCAACTGGACAGCCAAAAAGTTAGGCATCACTCCAGAAATGCGCCAACGAAAGGCAATCAGTCTAATTACAGCGGATGCTGTCACTACAGCACCCGTTGATCGTACGTGGGACACAATCGAAATCGCGATTAATCCACACACGTCTGCGTCTACGACGGTCCAGGTCAAACTAACAATTGTTCCGTCGCAGACCCGGGAGACCCTCGTCGGCATGAGCGTCATCGGCAGGATTGGCTTGACACCAAATCCATACAACCAAACTTTGACCTATTATCCGAAATGGTGGGAAGAGGGATCCCCCACCGCGGAGCTGCCGTCCATCTTTAATGTGGACTTGGTCAATAATTGCTTGCTTGCCGCAACCAGCTCGCGCATTAACCACGTCACTCTTGCTTACGCAGGTCGAGTGAGTGCCGCAGCCGCCTCCGGACAGCCAGCAGATATCGGGCGCAACGCCCCCAGGCCCCCGCCGCCGTTTGAGCGGCTTTGTAGGTGTCCTGTAGTAGCGCCGCAGTCGGCGCAGGAGGAGAGAGCAGTTCGGCTACAGTTAGAATTTCGAGACCAGCTAGCCACACAGAGTGTCATAGCTAGTTTTCAGCGGACTATCCGTAGCCTTACAGAGCAGCCGCCTCCGGCTATACTTTTGGCCTCTAGATATGGATCCCCATTGGATTCGAACTTTGTGGATATCCACGAACAAACGGCTGTAAATAGTTCAGGCATAGTGGTGCTAGAACTATGTTCTGGATTGTGCGCAACAACAGAAGCACTTGTGCGCAACGGTGTAAGAGTTCGCAAAGTGTATGCATGCGAAATTGACAGCCTCAGCCGTGAAGTGGCTCAACAAAGGTTGGCCACTCTCGTTAAGTTGTTTCCACATCTCATTACATCCGAAGCAATAACTACATGCCACGACACATTACCACATGACGTGTCGGCATAACCGAGCAACACATAACTACACTCGAGCCAGTGGACATGGTAGTAGCCGGATTCCCATGCCAGGGATTTTCATCCGCGGCCACTAAGCCGCTTGGATTGCGGGACACCCGCACGGCATTGTTTTACACATGCACATAAATAGTACGATTAATATATCGTAATCATGGTCCATGCATATGGCTCTTCGAAAACGTTGACGCAACGGACCATCGCGACCCACAAGTCGCACAAGAATATAACCATGTAGTCAAGGGAATATTAGGCCCAGGAGTGGCCTTTGATGCAGTAGCCGTAGGATCATATGCACACCGCAATCGGCGATTTTGGACCAATGGTATACCACTAGCCTTGTTGGATAACATGGTGCAGCATATACATTCCAAAACCTACCCACTCAGACAGTGTGCGACATAATTGAAGATCACCATGAAGCTCAATTAGCCGCGCATGCATGAGTCCCAGGGGATTACGCAGTGAACGAAGTCAGCAAACCGCTACGAGCTTTTGCCACATTCGTCACAGTGAAAGGATCACATGCCTACCGAGATAATGGGCACAGCTTGCTAATTAACACAGACACTGGGAACTTGGAAGAACCCAATGCAAACGAAAGGGAAGCCGCCATGGGTTTCATGGTCGGCACAACTGCACATGACGCAGTTACGGAGGCAGAGCGCAGGCGAATGTTAGGAGGAACCATGGATATGTTTCAAATTAAATTCCTGATTGGAGCTATCATGGTATTTCAGCATGCCTTCTTCTTAAATTGACGGCGCGCTGAGTCACAACTAGCTAAAATCAGAGACACTAGTGTGAATCGCCTAGCAATTCTGAGCAATATGCCTACAACTCACCTCATTTCGCCCCACGAATTACATAATTTAGCAATAATCAATCACAGCTCAATAACATCACACCCCGACTTCCGTAGCAGAGTGCATAGCGAACGGCCAGGTTGGTATGTTCCCTATGCAAGGGGGGAGGGGAGACCAGATCCACTTCGCCAACTCTTACCTGAACACAAATTCCAATTCAGATAAGCAGACATGCACCTCAATTAGTTTCGACCAAGCTAATTTAAGTAAAGATGCCGTGCGCTACACGGCTATTGCCGGTCCTCATCAGGTCCGGCTGAACGCAATGAACTCCGAGCCCGGAATTGTTAGTCACGCTACTCTCCGGCTCTCACTTGGGTGTTTCCCATCCGCATCTAGCCATGCAGAAACTTCTAGGCATAGCCCGGCTAGACCCGTGGCTATCCGTTTACTAAGTAAATGCCACTTCTCGGCTTTACACTTGGGTGCTTGCTCAAAGGGATAGTCACCGATATACAGACCATACAACCATACATTGACCATACATACCCCATGCTATGCCTTGACTCCTCATACATTGCTCCGGCCTCCCAATGACTCGCATGACAAGAAAGCCTCCATTGCACACAGCTCAACACTCACATCACCGAAGTCGTGCTCCACGCCGGAGATCGCTGCTCGCTGTCAACAGGTCCTTCTCTCATGCTTAGGCGCCATTGTCCTCACAAGGATACAGAGAACTTGCAACTTGAGAAGTGAGTCACACTACTCTAGAAGCAAGTAGATATACTACTACTACCTCTTGGCCGGAGATCAGCCTACAGCTCCAGATCTACACTCGGCCGGAGGTCAACAACTAGCAACCCTAGCATCTGCTACACTCGTGTGACCTCGTACAGCTATTGGTCACTTGACCGGATTTGTGTGGTCACACCGGAGCCACTGAACCGGATCCATGTGGTCATCCCGGTGCACACTTGACAGGCCACCGGAGCCTCGAAACCCTTGAGGCGGCCGCGTGGATGACTCCCGCCGGTTGCCACCCTCTATGCCGCCGGCCGCGGGCGCGCGCGCTACGTGGTACGGCACGGACGTCCCACGGCATGGCAGCTGCCGTGCGCTACGCGGCTATTGCCGGTCCTCATCGGGTCCGGCTGAACGCAATGAACTCCGAGCCCGGAATTGTTAGTCACGCTACTCTCCGGCTCTCATTTGGGTGTTTCCCATCCGCATCTAGCCATGCAGAAATTTCTAGGCATAGCCCGGCTAGACCCGTGGCTATCCGTTTACTTCCCCCCCACTCGCCTGCCGCGGCCCCCGCGGCTGTGGCGAGTTACCCTTGCTGCAAGCTCTGGGTGCAGCTTGAGCACAGCCAAACTCCCTTGGGCACCTCCTTGACCGCCGGTTCTAGGCAGCCCATGTGGTAACCCTCCAGGCAGTAGTCGCAAAGCAACATCGTTGCTTGCCGGCCGGGGCTCTTGCATATTTGGCAGGCGTGATCTGCCGTCACTGTCGTGAGCGTCGGGTCGATGGTGGTGTCGATGTTGGGGTTGTGGCAGGGGGCGCAGTTCTCGATATGCTCCTTGAACAGCGTCCCGTCCGCCCCTTGCAACACCAAGCGCCCGTTGGAGCCGACCTGGTGTACCCGGTACGCCTCGCGCGTCACGGACACGTCCGTCTTGTCCGCCGGTTGGCGCCGGAGGTAGGCCAGGTCCCCCACTTCAAATTTCCGCACCTTCGGCCGGTACCCCGTCTTGCGCACGTGGTCGTACCGCCGTTGGTCCCGGTGCTGCGCAGCGAGCAGGTTCCCCAAGGCCAGGGGCATCTCCCGCTGCAGCACCTCCGCTCGCTGGTGGCATGCCGCCACCCACTGCTCCGGTGTGTCGAAATCGACCGGAGTTCCCACCAACTGCTTGACCGCCTCCCCCGTAAGCATGGGGTGACGGCCGTGCAAAAGGAAGTAGGGGGAGTATCCCCCCAGAGCCGTCTTTGGGCTCATCCGGTACCCCATTGCCAGGTACGGCAGCCACTCGTCCCACGTCCGGCGGTCGGCTTCCGTCCCTAGCGGGTGATGCCTTCCTTGATGGTGCGCACCAAGCGCTCCGTCAGGCCGTTGGACTGGGGGTGGTACCGGGAGGTGGTGCGGTGGTCGAGGAGGAGTCGTTGACAGAGGGCGTCAAACTCGCCCATGAACTCACTCCCGTTGTCCGTTAGGACTTCCGCGCAGGCTCCGAACCGGGTCATAATGGCCAGGAACGCCTCCGCCACCTTCCCCAAGTGCTTGCTGGGCAGCGCCACTAGCTGGCACCACTTGTTGAAGTGCTCGATGATGACCAGGCAGTACCGCTTCCGGCTCCGGGTCGTCAGCAGAGGCCCGGCGAAGTCCAGGCTCCACCGGTACCCCAGCCCCATGATGGGCAGGGACTTCATCCCCGACATCTTGACCGAGAAGCTCGCCTTGGTCCGGTCGCACTGTTGGCAACTTGCCACGCCGTCTTGGGCCGTCTTGTACATCCCGGCCCACCAGTAGGTTCGTTTGAGGAGGTGCACCGTGCGTTTCTCGCCCCAGTGCCCGGTGAAGTCGTGAATTTCTCGAACCAGGTTGTCCCGCTGTTGCGGTGCTGGCACGATCTTCTCCTCCCCCCCTGCCAGGAGGCGCAACAGCACCCCGTCGCAGGTCCGGGGCTCCTCCTCCCCATCGCTATTAAGATGGTGTATCACCACCCCGTCCCGAAACCGGTAGGACTGCGCTCTCCGGCGCACTCTCTCCACCTCGCCCTTGCTCCAGTTGGGGTCGAGGACCCCGGTCCACAGGTGGTTCAGGGTGTTGATGTCTTCCCAGATGTCGGTGAGGGCTTTGGCTCTTTCTCCCCCCAGCCCCGGAGTCTCCGGGACCTGTACATCTGCGTCAACAGTGCCGTAGTCCATTGGGCCCGGCATGGGCAGCTCTCCGGGGAGCTCGAGCTCGTCCTCTGGTTCCCACGGCTCGCCTCCGGCCTCCTCCATAGTGAGGTACTCCAACTCCCCTGGGGGCACCGGAGTGTCGGCTGCCCAGGCCTGCCAGGCCAGGTAGGTTACTGCTGGCCTTCCCCCCGGCCCTGGGTCCCCTCCTCCGGCCGCGTCCTCATGCATCCGCGCTCCGGTGGGATCCTCTGTCTCCGGCTGGGGGTTTCGGCTCAGCCCGTCTGCGTTCATGTTGATCAACCCCTTGCGGTACCGCACCTCGAAGTCAAACTCCTGAAGCATCAGCGCCCACCGGGCGTGCATGCCCGTGAGGTTGGGGTTGGTCACCAGCCACTCGAGGGGGCGGTGGTCGGTGTAGAGGATGAAGCGCGCCCCGTACAGGTACACCCGGAAGTAGCGCACTCCCCACACCGCGGCCAAGCACTCCCCAGCGTAGCTGGAGTAGTTGCTCTCGGCCTTGTTGTTGCTCCGGCTGGCGTAGGCCACCACCCGTTCCTCCCCGGCGTCGTCTCGTTGTTGTAGAATTGCCCCGCATCCTGCCGCGCTCCAATCTGTGTGCAGCTCGAACTCCTTCCTGGGGTCCGGGCGCACCAACAGCGGTGCCTCGCACAGCATCGCCTTCAGCCGGTCCACCGCCTCCTTGCATTCAGCTCCCAGCTCCTCCGGAACTCCACGTCCTTCTTGAGTAGGTCGTTTAGCGGCCGGGCCACCGCGCTACACCCCGCAAGGAACTTGCGGTAGTAGTTGACGATGCCCCGGAACTGCTTGATGGCGGTTTGGCCTGTAGGGTAGGGGATGCGTTGGATGGCCGCCACTTTGACGGCTTGGGGCTTCAGCCCCACGGGGTTAACCATGTGCCCCAAGAAAGGGATCTCCGGGAAAAGGATCCGGATCTTCTTCGGGTGCACCTTGATGTTGTGGCGCCGGAGCTCGGTGAAGACTCCGCGCAGGGCGTCCAAGTGGGCCCGGAAGCCCTTGGCGTGGACGATGGTGTCGTCGATGAACGCCCGCGCGAAGGCCCGCAGCTCCCGCAGCACCCGGTCCATCAGCCTCTGAAACAGCGCTGGCGCGTTCTTGGGCCCGAAGGGGGTGCGCAGCGGCATGTAGAGGTCGTCGTGGCCCAACGCCAGCTTCCACTCGTCTCCCTCCCGGATCCGGATCTGGTGGTACCCCATCCTGAGGTCCAGCGTGGAGAAGCAGTCGCTCTCCCCCAGATCGTCGAATAGCTCGTCCGCTATAGGCATCGGGTACTTGTCAGGGACAGTCTTGTCGTTGTGGGGCCGGTAGTCGCCGCAGATCCGCCTCTCCGTCCAGTTCCTCTCCGCGTCTTTCTTGCGCGGCATGACGGTGGCGGCAGCGAAGGGCTCCTTGACCCCCGGGGGCAGCTTTAAAGGCGCAATGAGCTTGGCGGCCAGCCTCTCCTCCACGTACGCCTTCAACAGGTCCGTCTCGTACTGGGAGTAGCGCCGCTTGGGTGACCAGATTGGCTTCTCGTCGGTGAAGTCCACCTCGAACTCCACCCATTCGATGGCGGTGTCGCTCAGGTCGTAGATGGACCACGCGAAGATGTCCCGGAACTCCTCCAGCAGCCCCGTGACCTCGGCCCTCTGCTCCGGTGGTAGTCCCGGCCAGATCTGCTCGTCTCCCCACTCAAAGGGCTTCTCAGTCCCCTTTGCTCCGAATTGGCTCGCACCTTTCTCCTCTGGTGCTGTCCCCACAGCTGTTGCCTGCAGCTCCGGTCCCAGTTCCTGACCTCCGGCTTCAAGGGAATGCAGCCCTTTCAAGCTGATCTCCCCTGTGCCCTCTCTCCTGTTGATTCCCGGGGCAGGGTCCCGGCGTAGCTCTTGTCCACCCTGATCGGGTGTTGGTGGTTTGCCCCCCTCCGGGGGCAAGGCCCTTTCGGACTGCCCTGGCCCTAAGGCCTTTTGGGCCCCACCTCCTTGGTTGACCTTCCCGGGTTCTCCTCCGGTTAGTCCCTGGGGATAGTTGCCCTTCTCCCCCTCTTGCTCCACTAAGGCTGTGCCGGACTTCCCAGCTTGTTCAGGCTCTCCGGCCTGGCCCTGGGACGCTCCGGTCCCAGGTGGATTTTGTTTAGGCTCTCCGGCCCCTGTACTTACCTCCCCCCAGCTGCGGGCTGTGATTTTTGCAGGCCGCCAGCTGGCTGGGTTCCTTCGGCTTTTGTTGAGGGTGAGTCGTAACACCCTTGTTCCGGGGGCGCGTCTGTCGCCCCCGCGCGCCTTCATTCGTCCTTGTTGATGACCCGCCAGCGGCGAAACTCCTTGCACAGCCAGGTTTAGGCGCGGACGTCGGTGGCGCTCCCGATTAGCCTCCGGCGTTCTGCCTCCGGGACATTGTAGCCCCTTGTGGACCCTGGCAGCATCCCCATGATCCGCTCCCGTTCGTCGGCGTTGGGCTCCTGCCACTTGCGCACGTTGCGGTCGTACACCATCCCCGGCCCCGGTTGGTTGGCTTGAAAGCGGAAGGCGTAGGAGCTTGGGGTCGCCACCAAAGTAGGAAAACCCTGCAAAGGCTCCCCTTTCATGTTGACGCGGTAGTACCCCGGTACTGCGGGGTCGTCCTGGGCCGCCAATTGCACTGCCCGGAAGTTGTCCAGCGCGTCCTGTGCGTCCAGTCGGTCCCAGACTTGGTCGCGGTCGAACTGGGTGTAGCGCTCCTGGATGTCGGTTGCGCGCGCCAAGTTGGTCCAGAACACTCGGGTCCGGTGGGCTGCCGACCCCAACTTGGCTGCGTCGAGCCGGATGCCGCTCCCCGCGTAGCCTCCGCTGATGAGCTCCATTTGTTGAAAGCCCCACCGGGCTGGCGGGCTGGCGTGATCGCTCGCGTCCACCATCTCGAATATGTAGCCCGGCTCGTGCCCCCAGGGCCGCTGCAGGCGTTGGATGGTCGCCAGCACGCGCACCGCCTCCAGGTAGAGACTGGAGCGTGGGTCCTCTAGCCCCCGGGCCTGTCGATTGGCCCGCGAGAAGCCCTGGCACGGTGATGACACCGTCACCAGGTCGATTGGGTGTTGCCCATCGCGCCCGATGTGGCGCACCAGCTCTAGCTCGCCGATCTCGCTGATGTCCCAGGAGAGCGATGTGTTGGTGCGTGGTACGCCAACTCCGGTAGCTGTTCCGGGTAGGCGTGATGGAGGGCCCGCAAACGGTGGCCGAAGACCCTCCGGCTAACCGGGTCGTTGTCCACGTACACGACCTGCTTGATGTTGACCCCGGCCTTCAGCAGCGCCTCCAACTCCGCCGCAATGCCCCCAAAGAGCAGCAGCACTCGCAGCCACTTCTCGTCCCCGAACATGCGGGTGTGGTTGTCGTCAGTGGCCCAAATCATCTCATTCTCCCGGTAGTGAGTAGCCTGCGCGTTAGCTGACTGCTCCTCCGGCGAGGCGTGGTGGTCCACCATGAACGCCTGGGGCAACTCCTCCCAGTTTTCGTCCTCCGGTGGTGGCACCACCTGCTCACAGGCCTCCGGGTCCGGTGCAGGTACGGGTTGGACCCCGTCTTCGTACACCAGTACCCGTGGCGGCTCCTGCCGCCGCTGGTCCCGCATCTGGGGGATAGTCTTGTTCCCGGGAGTCGTTGTAGTCAGTCAGCTCCCGGTAGTAGAGGTTGTCGTTGTCCCCCCGCCGCGTCCACCCGGGTGGCAGCTCCGGCCTCCCACGGTGGTTTACAACTTGCTGCTGCGTGTTGCGCGCGGGGTAGCCCTCCTAGGATCTTAACACGGGATCCCACGGGTAGTCTACGTGCCTGGTCCCGGTGGCGGCGTTGTGGGCCGCCGTAGTCTCGGTGTCCAGCCTCCGGGCCGCCTCTTCGGGCTTGAAGTCCCTCTCCGGTTCGCCGGCAGGGATTGGGTTGACCCGGTTAATGCCCTTCAGGTTAACCCCCTTTAGGCCGGGCTCAGGGACCTCTGGCTCCTCTATGGCCGGGCCTTCCTCAGCCCAGCGTCGCGCGTACTCCCCGGGCGCCAGTCCAAGGAGCTCTCTGTAGCGATTAAGTCTCTCCGCCAGTCTCGGTCCCCGGATCTCGACCCCTCCGTGGTTCGCCTCTCCTTCTCGTCGGAGGCGCTCCCTCTCTACTGCCGCCGGGAGGATGGGGAAGGGTAGCACAGTGGGTGCCAAGTCGGAATTGTCGTCAGACCCATCGTCAATTAACGAGAGCATTTCATCATCCGACTCAACTTACACCGCACTGTCTACTTCCTCTCCCCCCCTGCGGTGGAGGGTTGAGTAGAATGCGTCTGGCAATGGGGCCGCCCCCTTTTCCCGCTCGAAGGTTAGGGGAATGTACCCCTCCGGCCCGTCTGCGTCAGGCAGCCCGGACTTTCAGTTCACCTGATACCGGAACTGCTCCCGCCAACTGTCAATGACTCCCCCAATGACCCACAGCACGACGTTGCCCACGAGAAAGTCGTAGGGCGCCTGCGTCACTACCGCCCGGACCGAGATCTCCGTCTCTGTCGCTTTCCCCGGGTTAAACGTGAACTTGATGGGTTGTTGGGTGACGCCAAACAGCCGGGTGGACTTGCCGTCTGCTAGGCCCAACCGCACTGCGTTGGGGGTGACGTCTTCTGCGCTCAGTCCCAGTTGGATGAGCCCCGGGCGCCCGATCAGCAGGGGCATTGCCCCTGAATCCAGGATCGCGCTCCCCTGCAGTGGCTTGCCGTTCACCCACAAGGCCCTCTCTCGGACCTTCACTATGGGCGCCCGCACCCGCTCTCTCTTCCGGTCCCCCCGATGCGCCGGCAGGTTTGCCAACTGCCGCACGAGGAAGGATCTCGCCGCCGGCTCCAACAGCTCCAGGGTTGAGCTGATCTCTCCTTCGCCTAGGGCCATGTAGGTAGGGGACGCCGGGGGTTGAATTGGCCATACTAGCGCTCGGGGAGCTGACTACTCCGGCGTAATGCATCGCCGGAGGCGTGTTGGCCGCGCTGGCGCCCGGGAAATGGCTGGCTCCCTCGCTGCACGCTCGCCGGCTCCGCCCGGAGCCGCTCCCCCCGCGTTCTGCCCGCCCTGGGTCCCCGCCTTGGGGCCCTGGGCCTGATGTCCCCCTGCCCCAGGTGCTGCCGCGGGGGCCGGTGCCGGTTGTCCTCCGGTTCCGCCTCCGTCGCCCTCAGGGTGGTCCCTCCGGGGCTGCTCCCGCTGTGGGTGCTCGTCCGTGGGACCCGGGCTCTGTCGTTCCTGCTCCTCGCCTTTAGCTGGCGGGACTGGAGGTGGGGTAGGTACCCCCGGGGGTCTGCGGCGCAGCTCCTCGTACAGGTGCGCTGCCACAAAGGCCGTCAGATTGGGGCCCCGGAGGTAGTGCGGGAGGATGTTTCGCACGATGGCATTGCTGGCCCGGTTGACGGCCTGCCCAATCGATTCGTCCCATGAAATAGACACATCTCCCACCCGTACCACCACGTCTGTTGGCACCGGGGGTCGTTTGGCCACCGGTGCTGCCAAGCCCGCACGTCCGGCCATGGCCAAGGCGAGTGTGACCGGGGTCGCACTGGCGGGGGCTGCGGGTACAGGTGGCCGGGAAGAGACAGGGGCCGCTATCACGGCCTCCGGTACCACTCGTCCCGCCCCTCCGGCAGCTCCCTCGCCCTGATCCTTCTCAGGCGCTGCGGGTAACTCCTCCGCTACGCCTCCCTCCGGTTGCGCCCCTTGTGCTGCAGGAACTCCGTCTGCGGCCCCGGGGCCCGGTGGCTTCTCCGGGGTGGGAGGCACTTCCTCCCCCACCTTGGCTTTTACCTTGCCCGCCTTCTTGGCCTCCTCTGCCGCTTCCAGCTCCTGCGCCTCTGTGTGCGCGGCTGCGGCAAGGCCTCGCTCCTTGCGGTAGTCGTGTAGCCGCTGGGCGGTGCGGCGGGTCACCTCTCCGGGGTCATCTACCATCACCGCAGCCACCTCGGGGTTGTTGGGGTAGGTCCGGCGGAGGTCTTCCACCAAGATCCGGGTCAGTTCCTGCCCTCCTACCGCATGGAGCGGTGGGTAGCCCGCCTCGTCCGCCACGGCCTGCATGAGCTGGTTCTCCTCAGGCCCATTTGGGTACAGCGCCCGCACCGTCTCCCCCAGGTCTGCCGCCACATGCTCCCATGTCGATGGTGTGTCGCTCGGCACCGGGGTTAGCTGTCTTGGCGGTGGGGGTGGCGGTCTCGGTGGCGGGGGTGGTCCCAGCGGAGGTGGGGGCGTAGAGGTTGTTGAACGGGTAGGGGGTGTTGGCTCCAGGGATGCACCATCCAGGGACTCCGTCTCGGGGGCGGCTGCAATGGGCTCCGCTTCCTCCAACGCCAAGTGCGCTTCAATCACGGGCACGGGCACGAACGTCGGAAGTGTCGAACGTTTCGATGCTGGTGGTGGGGAGCGCGATAAACGACCCGGTACCCATGGCAACCTGCAATTTGCTGGAGTGCGAGGATGTGGACATGGTGACCATTGTGACCGCCGCCAGCGCCTGCTCCAGCTCCGAGGTGGGTTCCGACAGGGAGGTTGTAGGTACTCCGTGCTGCCGGCCTGCCTCCCCGGGCTGGGTTTTGGTTTTCCCCCCCGGTTTTGCCCCGCCTGCGCCTGACACTTGGCCTGTGCTTGGCCCTGACCCCTGACCTTCTTCTCCCGTCTCCTCTTCTGCCCCGGGCTCTTCTGGCCCCTCAGCTCCGGTCTCCGCCGATTTTTCTTCTTTCTTCTCCTGCTGGTCCCCCCCTCCAGCTGCGGGCACCGAGACGGTGTCTGCTGCTGGAACTTTCGCAGCTTCGGATCTTGACCCCGTGAGCACGCCTTCTGCGTCTCTAGTGTCTTCCGCGGCGACCTTCCTAGGTCTCTCCTCCATCTCCGGAGGGGTTGCCGCGCGCCGCTTCTGGCCCACCGGGATGGAGGGCCCTGCGGTTATTGGTGGGATTGGGATGGCAGTTCTTTTAGCCACTGGGAAAGTCTGGGTGGTTGCCGGGGGCGTGCTAGGTCGCTGATCCCGTTGCTCCTCCTCCCGTTGCTCCTCCTCCCGGTGCTGGGCTATCTCGTCTGCAAATCCCTCCCGCAATTCCTGGGCCCGGAGGCGGAGGAACTTGCTGTAGAGGTTGTACCCCCGGAGGTTAAGGCGCTGCTCCGGGGCAAGGGCGAGGTACTGCTGGAGGGTTTCCTGGGTCAGGGGGGCGGCAGCCGTTATGTTGTCCAGCTGCAACATCTCCTCAATGGGATGCTGTTCGCTGTTCCCCTCGACCAGGTCGATTTCCGCCTGCATCTGGTGATACACCAACGTCTGGTGCATGCGGCGCCCCTCTTCCGTCCTCACCTCCTCCGCACTGAGGTTGATGTACATTGCCACCAGCTCGGCTGTGGTGACCCCCTCGTAGAACTCCGGGTTCCGCGTGTGGATCGAGTACATGTACCTCACCCGTTCTGCTATCTCTTCCCCGAGCCTCTCGTTCATCTCCTCCTCGGTTTCCTCCTCCTCGGTAGGCTCCTCCGGGGTTGGCTCCCTGGCCTTCCCCTTAGCAGCGGCACTCGATGCTGCTGCGGATGCCTCCGGCCCCGTGCTCTCCGGAACTTTCTTGGGGACTTTGCTGCCCCGGGGTTGTCCTCCCCCGGCCGCTGCCGCTCCCGCCGGGCGCTTCTTTCCGCGCTCCTTCCCGGCTCCTCCCTCTGCCGGTGTGGTTCCACCCCGGTCCTCTGCGGTCGGCGGGGGTGTGGGTTCGCGCCAAATCCGACCGTGTGGTTGGTTTGACCCATCCGGTTCGGTGTCCTTCCAGGCGTCGCGCACTAAGATGCGCAACCCTGGGGGCGTGTTGGGCCTGGCCTTGGTCGCTGGTTTGACCTTGGCCTTGATGGGGACGCTCTCTGGGGTCACCGGTCCCTCCGACAGTGGTCCGGTGCTAGGCAGCTTGTAGTCGTGGCAGGGAGTGGGGCGGTTCGGCATGCCCTCCGGGTAGTTGACCACTCGGTTCTGCAAGAAGCCTTCCACCCAGTTGGTGCCATAGCGCTGGGTGAAGTAAGCTTGCAGCAGGGACAGGGGCACCCGGAGCCGCGTTCCGTGGGGAGTCGCCTTAGCCGGCCGGGTTAACTCCTCCTCCGGTGGGGGCCCTAGGTTAACCGCGTAGTCATCCTCCGGGCGGTCCACCGGGGGCTCCATCAACCACTCGTGGATGTTGACGATCATCCGCAAGTCGGGGTTGGTGAGCTGGGACTCGTTGCAGTCCCGGAAGTAGGCCCGCAGTCCTCGCTGGGCCGCTCCCAAGGCAGACAGGACATACGCGTCCTGCGCCGCCACTGTCTCCCCCACGTGCAGCCGCCTATGCGCGTGCTGCTCGTACGTCACCAGCCACCGGCCGTGCCACAGGATGTAGGCCTCCAGCTCCTCCGGCTTGAAGTTGGACCACCGGGGGGTTTTGTGCCACCCCGGGTTGCGGTGATCCTCACGGTCGGGGTTGCCCTTGGGGTCGGCACGGAAGTTCTCCTCCATTAGCGCGATGTGCTTCTGGAGGTAGACCTCGGCCATGGTGGGGAGTTGGGCCGGGGGAAAGTAGCGGTACCTCGCCGGGATAGTCCGCATGGCGCGCTCAGCGGGGGTGAGGTCTGCTGCGTCCCCCATGTCCTCGACGCCGTAATCCTCTTTAGTTGCTTCTCCAGCAGCCCCCTCAGCGTCCTCTCCCTCCTCCTCGCTCCCCTCCTCCTCGGCTTCGTCGCCGGAGGATGAGCCTCCCCCCCCCTTGCAGCGCAGGGGCTGCCCGGTGGTGCCATCCGGGGGCAGTATGGAGACGGCCCCGACCCAGGCGTAGTGCGCCGGGGCGGCGACGATCTCGAAGGGGTGTCGGCGGTGCACCTACACCTCTCGCTGAGGGCCCACCGTGGGCTCCGCCAGGAGGTGGGGCTGCACCCCTGCGCGCTCCAGGTCCTCTGCCCCCTGGTACCGGGGGTCAGTGACGGGGCACTCCCCGAAGCTAGGTAGTAGGCGCTGCACCGGGCCCGTCTGTGCGGGCCCCGGTCCCTCAGCCGCCTCTGCTGTCGCCGGCGGCGCTGCCTCTCCTGCTCCCTGGTCCGGTGGGGGCCGCTCCCCCTGTGGCCTGAAAGCCGGGGGAGGCCCCCCGCGCCGCAGGCGATCTTTGCTCGCCTTTGCGCGCATGCGCTCCGCTTCCGTGCGGGCGCGCGCTGCGGGTTCCGTGTCCCGCTGCGCCATGGTGCTGGGGCGCACCTCCGGGTAGTCCTCCGGGGTCCCCACAGCCATCACGTCCACTCCTGTCGCCTGGCCCAGCAGGTGGGCGCCCCAGGTGGTCAACGGGTCGAAGTCGGGGCTCATGGGGTCGTCCTCCCCCCCCACTTCCGCGGCTGCGTAGGCAGGCCGGGCCGGTCCTCCGGCGCGTGGTTGCTTCCACTTCTCCGGCCGCTTGTCGGGATGCTTCTCCCAGCACTCGTTGTCGGTGTGGGAGTCCCGCCGCTTGCAGTGGCCGCAGTAGGCCCCCGGTTTCCTCATGGAGCCTCCGCCCTTGGGCTCCTTGGTGCACTCGGCCCTCGTGTGCCCGTGCTCCCCGCAGTTGTAGCAGGCCCCTTGGAAGCCGGTCCCCTTGGTCGGAGCTGCGGTCGCGGCAAAGGCCTGCTTGCCCTTGCCCTTTCCCTTGGCCCTCCGGTCGTCGTGCCGCCGGGGGCTGCGATCTCGCCGGGGGTGGCTGTCTTCAGCAGACCGGGGATGAGGCCTTGACAGGGACAGGTCCTTGACCTTCCCCGCAAGTGACTTCACCAGCGTCTAGGGGTCGCGCTCCAGGTCCCTGGTGTGGAGGGCGTCCTCCACCTTGCGCAAGTCGTCCTCCAGGTTGGTGAGGGTGCACTTGTCGACCGCCCACTTCAGCACGTCGCCCTCCAATGCCTTCCGGATCTCCGGGCGTAAGGACTTGAGGGCCTTCTCCGTCACCTCCCGCCCCGTTGTCTCCTTCCCGTTCTTGCGGCACAGTTCCCGCAGGAAGTGGAAGGTGGCGGCGGTGCTGCGGCTGGAGACGTACTGGAAGTCGAGGTAGGCAGCCAGGG